AGCAGATGAACCAAGTGAATTTGAGTTTTATGCACCACAGATCAGAAAACAAGACACTTCTATGCATGCTGAGTGACTACATGCTGCTGTTTATTTTGGGTTGGAGAATGTAATTATTTGGCTGCCACCGCTGATGTTGGTATTATTAATCAGTTACACTCTCAGTTAGAAGCTGTTCAGTGTGATTTTTTTTCTTGTGGAGGGGGGTTGGAGATGAGAGGATCCAGTGCGCTCAGAAGGTCAGAAAAGATGCGCAAACAGAAGTATCTCTGTGCTGCACTTCAGGCTTGTTTGTGGATTTTTGAATTGCAGTGGATCGTTGTTTTCAAATACCACTGAAGAATAATAATCCAAAGAGCGTGGAACCCTACGACCAGGGGCTTTCTTTATTTCTTTCAGTTTATTCTGAATCTTGAAACTATTCATGTAAAGATTTGGTTCAATGAGTGATTTGTCTGAACTCAGGTCCAAGTACAAGTGCAGTACTTCACCTGAAGGAGGTGGTCTGAGGTGATTTTGAAGTGAGCTGTGGTGTGGTTGGCCTGTGGTCAGTTCAGAATTTCTGGAAGAAAATGATTTTCTTATTATCAACATTTGGTTGACAGGACAGGTTTAGCGTGCCATTAAGCAGATCACTATCGAGCAGATTGGTTTTCTCAACGACACTGTGGGAACTGTGGCACTTAATGGCCGTCTCCCAGCTGTGTTCATCAACACTTTCAGTGGCAATCTTACAGTGTTAGCAAGAGAAGAGGAGCATTCTTAAGATTTATATAAGCAGAGAATAACAATAAAGTCCGAATAACAATCCAGTGCGACTTGATAGCAAATGTCATGACATGACATGTGTAGCAGCTTATTATGACCATAAGTTACATTTTGTTGTTAGGCGACATCTAGTGGTCTTAAGTGCAGTGACGTAGTATAAAGAGCGACAAAGTCCGTGTTAGGAGGAGGTTGGGGTGGATGGATGGGTCAACAAAACACAGGAATATGACATTGATATTTGATTCCCATGCAAAACCAGTAGTTTATATATTTTCTATTATCCATGACCGTTTGTTGTTATTATTGTAACCATGACAACAAAAATCATCTGAAGTTGAGGAAGTACTTAAATTTAACCCAAATCATGATCTTTTCCTAACCCTAGCAAATAGTTTCTGTGCCTAAGCCCAACCAAACCGTTATTATTGTAACCACGGCAACGTTGGGTACGCCACTCTCGGTACAGTCGCGTGTTTATTATGGTAACCATGACAACTGAGGTCCGGTACGCATGCTGCTGTAGGGGCACTATTTCAGGAGACGCTCCTGGGTCGTATCAGAGGGTTGACAAAACGACCTATATGGTTATTTAGGTTGTTGCTCCTGCCGCCGGCAGGGGCGCTGTATTAGGAAACACTCCTCTGGGTCGTATTTGAGGGTAGGAACAAACGGCCAACGTGCTTGTATGGATTGGGGGACTTGTTGTAGCAAACAGTTGTTTATTTACACATCCAGCGGTTATGGAGCAACATCATCATTCATATGGAGTCACGTTTGTGACCACCTGATCAATGAAAGTCTAATATTCACTCTCTTTTAGTTAGTTAGTCCTGAGGACAGCATTTGGCTCTTTAGCTGCTGAATGCTCCACCACACCATAAAGCTGAGGGGAGCTGCAGATTTAGATTACTCTCTGTAGGCCTATCACCGAGAGCGACACTTTTCCCATTGTCACATTGTCTTTACATTGTGTTTTGATTGTTTGTGTAAACAGAAAATCTTTGCATTTATAGCAGTCGGTTGGACAAAACAATCAATCTAAAGACCTCAGGCTGTCGTGATTGTGATGTTTCGTAATCAGTAATGAAAATGATCATTAATTGCAGCCCCTCCACCTATACAGTATATTGTTCTCTATTTTACATATGAAGGTGAAACAGGTGCCAGTGTGGTTTGCAGCTGCTCTTTGATACGAAAACAAAACTCCTGCAGCAGTAAAAGTGCCCAAGCAAACAAGCATAGCAGTGGGTGAGAGGAGGGGGGCACCATCACATAAATGGGTTCCGACTCCCACAAAACAAATATAGTGTGAAACAGCAAAGGTTGTTAGTGCGCTTGTTCATTCACTCACTAATTATCAATCTGTCTGCCCCTTGTGGCCATTAAGCGGTATGGCAGAGGTGACGCACTAAACCAGGGTCACTCACTCTCAGCCTGTCTCCTGTGACCTGTGTGGAGTTTTTTCCTTGGGTGTCTGTGTATCTACTCTTCTATAAAAATCCAGATTACGTGTGTGTTGTCGATTTACAGTGGGTGGAAGGGAAATAAAAATGTTTACATAAGAGTTATTACTGAGTTAAAAATAATAGATTATGAAATGTTTGGTACAAGGATTGTGTAGCTGTGCATATGTGATAAAGAGCTGGTAAATTTTGTTCTCCTTAGGGGCTCATACAGATTTAGTGAGATGGTAGCTAATTAGCATTACGTTAGTGTAGCTTTACGTAGAAGAAAGTTGGAAATATACAGTTATATAGCTGACAGCTCAATTTACAGTTAAACATTGTTTTCTGTGTGTGTGTGTGTGTGTGTGTGTGTGTGATAACTGGGGACTCACTTAAGTCTCACCATGACCAAAGATAGACTCTGAAAACGCAGTTTCAGTTTGTGCTCACTCCTAAATAACCTACTCTGTCTGCACTCTGTTACGTCTAGATTTATGGCTGGATTCATCGTGCTGTGATAATAGTTGAACAGAAAATCTTTCTCGGTATAGCTGGGATTTTTTATTTTTTTATTTTATTTTTTTTGCCTCATCTGGACCGTGATAAGAACCACCATCCGTGAGATGATGATAACCACAGTTGTATTAATTTTAGCTCTGTGCCTTTTGACTTTTATGTTTGAGATTCAGGCACCAAAAACTCTTCCTCTGCCAAAAGATTGTCTGCATCTGGTGCCGCCAGCTACTCTGCAGTTTCGACACCAGTTTGATCATCTGTTCTGAATTTGAAATGGTCCTCACTCAAAATTTTCACCTTGAGGGTTTCTGCCAAGCCACCGGTCACGACGCCTCTCCCTGCTCCGCCTCCCCTGGTGTGTGTGTGTGTGTGTGTGTGTGTGTGCGTTTATGTGTGTGCAAGCGCGTTTCTGTATGTGTTATTCTGCCTCTGTGCTTGCATGTTTGCATTTGTGCATATGCCTGGGGCGAATGTGAGTGTGTATACTGTACGTGTGAGTTAATGTGTGCATCAAGCAGACATTAACACCCTCTCAATGTCAATGACTCCTCCTAGTCAGGAAAGTCAGTGAGCCACTGATGGACTCACCATAACCGTCCCCGCGAGGCAGTGCTGTGTCTGTGTTTGTGTGTGCCTGAGACAAGGTGACACAGGAAACAGTCCTCTGCTGATGGCCGATGGCCACAACCAACTGTCCTGACCTCACTCGTGTTTGGTCACTCCTATGGAGGTGATTGTTTTTATGTGACAACATCCAGACTAAACACAAAGTGAGAACGGTCACTGCACTACTCTGCTGCTGAATAATTCTTTTTAAAAGCAAATTCTTCACTTTAGGAGTTTCTGTATAAACACATCCTGCTGAATGGAGACCAGCACTTCACTGTCACTGAAATGAATGGACAGTGAGGCTTAGGCTCATGAAATATCTCTCCTTTTGTGTCAAAACACACACAGTCCAAAATAATAGCCCCTCCATCTCCACCTGTGTTTGCACTGTTCTTTTCTATAATACAGCCCGGCATATCAGTGAATCTTTAAAAAACTTCACTATTCACTGGTTTTCTTAAGTCTACACCACAGGCCTGTTACCAGGAGCCAGAGGCCAACCCCGGTGTCTCCAGACACATTTATCTTATCCATGCAGAAAAATGGCTGCGAGAAGGCTTTGTGACAAATACTGAGCAGAATAGGTCTTTGTTGTTTTCAAGGAGATTTTTCTCAGTCATATTCTGTAAATAACTAAAGCCTGAACAAAGGCAGAGTCCTTGGGGAGCTCATTTATCACATAAATTACACAACTGCTCATCCCCAGTTCATCCAGGAATTATATTTCAAAGTGAGGGGGCATGATGTTTTTATTAATTTGTTCTGTTCTCCCCTTGTCTGGCCAGATTTAAGTGTGAATAATTTCTTCTACTTGCAGTAATTAAATGTGAGGTCTCACCTAAGAGACTCACTACCTCCAATACACACCGGAGAGACTCCGTACCTTCAATGTGCTCGCATGAACACATATGCAGCCACGCACATAGCAAACAAACTCACTTTCTGTGCATTCACACTCACAGCACACACCTTCAAATAATGCTCACTGTCATACAAAATCATAAAAAGCTCACAACTGCTGCCCCTAGGCCAGTTTTCTCACAGACACAGGAGGCGAGAGCCTGATTTTCCACAGAGGAGCAGGCGATTGTGTGAATGAACAAAGGGAATCTCCTTCCTCCTCTGCTCCTCTCTCCCCCAAATCCTATCATGTGCCACCATGCGTCTCCCACACGCCTGTTTCCAAGTTACCGGCAGCGTTGGCTGCCAATCCTGCTTAATTGCCTCCTGTGTAAAGTGACGGCTGATGAGCGGCGATGAGAGTGAGCTGTCCTCGCCTCTTCCTGCAGCTCACTCTCTGCTACCTTGCCAAAGGAGAGACTCCACCTGAGAGCTGTATACCTTTGGGAAATTACACAGTAGTGTTGACCTAGAGTGAAACTTCAGTAACCAACCTGGAGACTTACTGTGTGAAAAAGAATTACCTCTGAAATGTAACTATGGGAGTTTTAATTTTGAGAAAGAAACTACTCAATTGAAGAAAACTGGTCTGTGAGGACATTTAATTTAAGCCTTAATAGGCACTAAGGGATACAGAGCACATGAATAAGAAATGCTTTGAATAGGAGATGTTCTGTCAGAGATAACTAAGTAAAGAACAGGGGGTGAAACAATAACAGCAGACAGTGTTTGTTTTAGAGATAAGCAGCTTTCCTCACTAACCTTGCTTAAGCCTGGAGAAAAGGAAAAGATCTTCTTGCTCACTCCTGCTCGCAGAATTTTTGCCACCCTGTTGCTCCTTGTTCCTTGTCCTTCCTTTGTTGCGTCTTCCTCACAAATAGATCCTCCTCATCGTCAGGACCGGGGCTGGAATTAACAGCTCATGAGGGAAGCCAGGCGGAAGAGAAAGAAAACACACCAGAGAAGAAAAGAAACACACTCTTCTCGCCCCTAAGTCCTTCTTGGCAGTGTATCCCCATCCGTCAGAGCACAGCGACTGAGAGTGAGTGAGTGAGAGAGAGAGAGAGAGAGAGAGAGAGAGAGAGGGGGAGAGAGAGAGATGAAACGATACTGAGTAAGTGGGCGAGTGAGAGAGAAAGTGAGAGAGGGAGGGAGCGAGAGCTTGCTTGTGTGCACTGGAGGGTGATCCTCTATACTGTATGAGCTCCTGTTTATCTCTCTGTCTGTCTCCTCCGCATGCATTCCTTCCTGTCAGGAGTCACGAGGTCAGCTGCTTTTACAGTAACAACACTTTGTTTCCTCTTGAGGGAAAAGACTTCCTGTTAGTTCTCCGCTTAACTTCCCTCATGAGTGAATGAGCTTTTTTTTTTTTAATCCCTTCTCTCGTGCTTTCTCTCTCTCTTGCACACACACACACACACACACATACACACACACACACACACGCCCTCTCGCTCTCTATTCCCCTCTCTAAATTTATTAGCATCCTAGTGAATGTTAATCTAATCTCCTCCCCTCTCCCAACACTGCCTGTCCAGAGGAGACTCCACTGACGAGGAATGTGCCGCAATTTAATTTCAGATATGCACTGTACAAATTTACAAACAAACACAAGCGGCCATCTGCATATTGGGTAGATACTGATGCAATTTGCATGTATAAAGAATTCAAGTGCAAATTGAACTGATACATGGTTCGGAGAAAGAACAGAAAACTGTGTATGTTTGTGGTGAAAAATGAAAAGTGCAGCATGTCATACTTGTGCATGTGGTCTGATACTTTTCTGTTCTGTAAGAATGCGGTTCATGGAAGCTAAAGGAAATGGAGAAATTGTATGCAATGCATAAAATCATAAAGATACAGGGGCTTCAGTAAATGCTCACATCAAACATCAGAATGAGGAAAAAATGTGATCTCAGTGACTTTAACCATGGCATGATTGCTGATTCCAGAGGGCTCATCTGAGAATTTCTAAAACTGCTGATCTCCTGGGATTTTGACGCACAGCGGTATCAACGGTTTACTCAAGATGGTGCACAAAACAAAAAAACATTCAGTGAGCAGCAGTTCTGTGGGCGGAAATGCCATGTTGATGAACAGAGGTCAGAGGAGAATGGCCAGACTGGTAGGAGCTGACAGAAAGGCTCAAGTAACTCAGACCATCAGTCAGGTTTCACTCCTGTCAGCCAAGAACAGAAATCTGAGGCAGCAGTGGCCACAGGCTCGCCAAAACTGGACAGCTGCTGAAGGCTGGAAAAACATGGTCCGGTCTGATGAATCTGGATTTCTGCTGATCCACGCAGATGATCGAATCCATGAACCCCAACCCACCTTGGTGGTATTGGTGGTGTAATGGTGTGAGGAATGTTTTCTTGGCACCACTTAATACCAATCAATCATGGTTTGAATGCCCCTGCCAATCTGAGTATTGTTGCTGACCATGTGCATCCCTCAATGGCCACAATTTCCATGCCACGAATAACTGAGGCCCCACCCAGTATTAGTATGGTGTGCCTGACAAAAAGTGCTCTGAGAGTATATGTTGGTAAACTAAATAACTTTGGGTTTGGACTGTTGGTCATGCAAAACATCTGAACATGTCACCTAGTTGGTATTTTTCACAGTTTTCTGTTATTTTATAAGCAAACCAATAAATCTATTAGTCAAGAAAATAATTGTGAGGTTAATTAATGATGAAAAGAATTGCAGTTGCATCCCTATTTTAATTCTGAAATAGTTTATCGATCTGCCAGTCGCCAGAAAATTTCCAGAAAATTTGATTGATTGATTCAAGTAATTTAAAAAATGCAAATATTTGGAGGTTCCAGCATCTCAAATGTGAAGATTTCCTGCTTGTCTGTATTATAACCTGAATATCTGAGACTTAAAGACTATTTAAAGATATTGCCTTTGACTATCTGCAACAATTAATCAGTTGTTCACAGGACAGGTTTAGTGTGCCATCACGAGCAGATTGGCTTGCTCAAGGACACTATGGGAACTGTGGCACTTGGTGGCTGTCTCCCAGCTGTGTTCATTGACACTTTCCGTGCTGATAGTGGGTCTGAATTAGATTTAAACAATCTAAATTGCTGTTAAAACTGCTGTGAAACGTTTGAAAGCCTGGCTTTACATCACTAAACAATAAAGTAATGACCACTGTAGCTTTTACAACAATTACAGGCGTAAAAAACGAACCAGTATTGTCACTGGTGACTTTGTTGGGAATGTGTCAGCACAGCCTGTGTGTATGGAACATGCCAAAACCTTTCTTCTCTGCTCGGCTGACTCCTGATGTGACATGGCAGCCAGAGAGCCTAAGTGTCTCCCCTGAGTACAGTACATAGTTGGGTCAATATGCACATGAAGTGATAGATCTATCGGGTCACACGTATCAGTGGAAGGTGATTCAGGGGCCAACCTGACAGCTTCCTCAATTATGTTGATAAATTGTCATTATGTCATGAATCACATAGAGAGACACGCTCACCACAGGCTAAGTGACAGAAAGCCTCAGTCACGCCACAGATGAAGTGACAGAGAATCTCTCCGGAGTGGGGAAATGAAGGGTATGAACATATGGCCGTGTCATCTTGAGCGCTGCACGTTTGCCCGCTGCAAGAAGTGCACCCGTGGAGCACTGTGGGTATTGCGCCGTTTTGGTTGGCGGGTGATGCTCCTGGACACACGGCCACATGCAGCAGGAGGAGTGAGCTGTGATGAGGGCCATTTGCTCTCAAAGGAAGGTGGGCTGACGAGGAGGCCTCAGGCAGGTTGTGTGGGGATCGGTGCTGTGTGATGTTCATGCCAGGAGGAGGTATGCAAAGGAGCGATATAATGCATCCCGTGTGTATGTGTGTCCCTGCATGTGGACTTTGTGAGTGTTTGGCGGAAATAACTGTAACTACTCATAGTTACTCATTCACAATAGAGCACATTCCTCCAAGTGCCATCTTTTGTGCTGTTCTCCCTCTGTGACCAACATTTGGTGCAAATTCAAACACTTAGCAAGTGAGAAAGTCAGCCGGAATCAGTTTTTTTTTTTTTTTTTTTTTAAATCATCTTGCATTTGCACTGCACGTGAACCAAAAACCATAAACGTGAAAATAAACATGAAACGGTCACAAAACCATGAAAGATAATTTTGTCACAGAAAAGAGCTGTGATGAAATTCTTGCTGTGATTGCTGTTTTTATATGGAACGCTCACCCACTGTGCCAGATAGTAAATATTACACATTTCCCTTACAACTCTTATGAAATATTGAGTGGCTTGAAATGTACTTGGGAAATGAGGTCATGAGAAATGAATGCAAAGCAGGGAAGCTGTATGGATTGTTCTCTGGTGGCACTTAGTCACAAGATAATGCCTGTGATGAGTGTTTATTAGACAGCAGGTATACTGATGCGTTTATTGTAAGTAGATCAGTCTCATTATATATTGTTTTTCCTGCGAGTTTCTCCTCCAAGTGTCCTCTCCATGGACAGAGGAGTACGCAGTTGGTCAGTGACCACGCTGAGGTGCAGGGCTGTATTCATGACAAGCACCTTGCTTGAACTGTCTTGCACGCAGCTGGCCTTATTAACGATACAAATGGCTGTGAACATGGAGGCGTTCATCACCTCTATCATACCTGTTCCCTCTTACAGATGGAATTAAAATTATCTACTCCAGTTGTCATCTCTGCTCCTGTTAACGGTTCCTCCCTCCTCTGGGAGATTCAGATGATAGCAGTTATTGTGTCTAGTTCCTCCTTTTAGCCAAGCTCCGGGAGATTTCTTTGAATCTTTTTAGGAGGCTCCATAAATGTAGAGGATCAGCTTACACGGTTCACCATTAAACCTGCAGGGTATTTGATACAGATGTGACTTTCAATCTTCAAAAAAAAATGAGATTTCGGCTTAGCTTTGTATTATATGGTCCAAGTGCAAGGAAATGACTTTTTGAAAAGACTTGGCTGTATTTTTTTTTTTCTTTTTTTATTCCCAGGGATCTTTTTCCCTTCTGCAACCTCTGCCAGCCTCCGGAGCTGGGTTATTTTCTATTGTAGAGAATTTGTAGTGGTGGTTTTAAAACGAATTTATGCTAAATGTAGCCCAGCCGTGAATTAGTGTCCTGTAGCTGATGCTGTGTAGTCCCACAGCGCTAAAGTGAGTGAATGTTGTTGTCAAGCTTTTCTCAGGGGCCCTGCTTAAGCGCACTAGATAGAGGTCAGAAGAGCCATGGGGAAGTGTGCAAATCCCTGCAAGTTATTGCATGTCCTCTGGTCTTTAAATGGATTTTGCTAATAGAAACATGCATCCTGCTGCTTTCTAATGACTCTACTATTCATTAAATACCATTTTTGGACATTTAAGTGCATGTTTGCTTTTGTTTTTGCTGAATTTAAAAAGGTCAATACGGGGGATAGAGGTGAATTTGGACATTTAATTCCCTAACTAAGCTCTTATTTGTCACAGTTTTTTCCCTTTTTTTTTATAATCTTAAGAAACAGCCTCCACTGAGGACACAGCTCCTAACCTTACCCTTCTTTTTGATCATATCATGCTACTGCTGACACGGTCTTTACAAAACATATTAGACACACCATCAGCTCTCTGTTAGCCGATCCCCTGACGGCTAGCTGTCCGTGCGCTTTCCTCCTTTCAGGGAAATGTGTCCTCCTAATTGCCTCGAAGGTAGCGTTGCTTGTTGCAAAGCTGTAAACCCCATCTTGAAAGCAATGGGGTGTCACTTAACATCAGCAATTACAAGATTCAATCATAAACTGCTCAGCCATCTGAAAAATATTAGGATAATCATTTTTCCCTGCTTCAAAAACAAACAAAGCCAGTGAACACACTAATATGCTGCTGAACAGGCGATAGTTTTTATGGCCCTGAATACTTGTTGTTCTGAGCCGAGCAGCCGCATTTCTCACCAAAACCAACGTCTGGAGAGAATTACAAAGTGAGATTATATGCATATTTACACACAGAGAAACTAGCTTTCATTGCTGCAGAATACAACTTTAAATGGCATTTTTAGATCAAATTATTGTTTGGTGGACAGATTTTATGAGATTCTGCTGGAGTCGGGAGTAAAAACCTCATAGTCAA